TTATAATTCATTCTCTTTACTTAAGTTTAATCGTCCCTCTCCCAACATTATATACTTATAGTGATTCTCAGTGAAACCCACTATCCAGAATCACTGTAACAGTATAACCTAATCGATAGCTAGATTATTACTCTTCTTATTCGTTATCTTCAAATAAATAATTGATTTTTACCCTTATCAAACCCATTAATAATTGATTTTTTATTGATATTATATCACTTACCAATAAACCTAATAAAAAGTGAATAGGCAAGAGCGAGAATAGGAGAGAGCAAAAGTGAAAGACCAAGTGGATGAGTGACATGCGAGAGTGACGCTTGACTTCTGATATCCACATCTTTAAACGACTTGAACTTTTAGAATTACAAGAATTCAAATGAAATGATCCATTAACTCAACAATATTTTTCAACGATGAACAAGCTCAAAATCGAGAGCACTTGTTAGAATATTATTGAATATATATATTTTGATATCCTATTACTAATAGCCTCTTACAGTTGTAATCCAACCAATCCAACCTGAAGTCTCATAATCACTTCTGATAACTTGCAACTCGTCTTTATATATAATTCATAATTACTTCTGGTAATTTGTAATTACATCAGTAATTTATAACTGCTCCAAAAATCTTTCCAAATTAATGAAATGGAAAGCTCTATAATGTTACCATTATTATACACTATAATGTGACAAATAACCTTTGCAGATGAGATTATTCTCAGCTTTATTTTTTATCCCCTTTCAAACTTGCATATAAGAAAGTACTCATCTTACTGAACTGTAGCATAGTATCACATGAGTACTGTTTCTGTTTAGAAATCTTTAAAAAATAAATAAAGAAGGCTGCTACTGTAATTTACATATAAATAATGAGATGTTGATCTCTCAAATTATATAGAAGAAAATTTACTCCACAAATCTGTGTGATAAATCATGTAACTGCTATTTAATTCATCTAGTCAAGACAAATTGAATAGTAGTATTTTGTTCAAATCAGATCACTGAATGTCAAGAATTAAATTATTGAATATTGAGATGTGTGTTATGAAATAACTGATTATATTTGTCACATGAAAGTTTATGAGCATACAATATCTGATATAGAAGCTCTAAAAAGTATCAATGTTCGGTATTTGTAATATTTTTTGTGCTCAGAAAAATTTCACATGATCTATAAAAAGTTAAGGTGGGTCAGATACTTTTGGCTACAACTATATTTGGAATAATTTATATATATATCTTTATAGCACTTGGTTTTCTATATCATTGTCTGTAAATTACCACAAGTATACACCTATCAAAATATAATATTCTATATATATGTACTAGAGTACAGAATGGACCAGATTGGGCCAGGCTTACCTAAATTCAGACTCAAGCTCAAAGAATATTTTTAGGTCCAGATCCAATAGAAAGTTTGGAGAATAGACTGAATTAGGTTTTATTTTAAAACTTGGTCCAGCCCATTCAGTCCACCAATTTATATATAATATAACTGATTTAATTGTTGTAATAGTCTAAATATTATATACGTTACATAAATGTGTATTTTTTTATTTGTTTTTAATTATATTTTTAAATGTACATTATGTTTTAAATGTGTATTTTATTTTATTTTATTATTATTATTTTTTTGACAATAAAATCATTTTATTTTTAAATTTACTTGCTTTATCTGGCAGGCTGAATAAACTAATTTGCTATATCTAATTAATAATTAATTGATTAGATATAGCTATCAACTGATATGAATAAAATGTCTCATAATTTGTATGACAATTATTCATTTGCTTCTGGATACTTCACATTAAAAAAAATCTTATATAAATAACTGCTTATCCTTTAGTTTATTCAACCTCATTTTTTTGCATTTTTCAACCAATTTTGACTGCATATTAATATTTTAACAGTTTCCAATATAAGCTTTGATTGATATTATTAATAATTCTTTCTGCTGTACTAAATATCTGAATAAATAATATGAGTTAGATTATATTATATTAATAAACTAATAACTGAAACTTTACTTATTGTTTTAGAAACTACTAAAGTTATTGGAACAGCAAGAATATTATTACTGTAGTAACATAAATTTCTCTAATTCGATAATCTTTTTTTGATTATGCGAAATTCTCTTTTTCTTAATTTTTATAATTTATCACTTGATTATTATTTTTATCCAATCGTATAATTATCTCACTTTTATTTTATTACTCTAAATCTTATATTTATACTCTAAATATCATATTTATTCTCT